ATTAATTTTAATCACATATTTTATGGGATACACAAATTTTATTAACTTTTCAATCACACATTTTATCATTTTAATTCAAATCGACTAAAAAATTTAATTTATCATCGTGGTGGATTAGACTGCTAATAATTTTATTTATCTAACATTTTCAAAAATATATTTCTCTGTCTAATCTTAACACAACATTAGCTGACCAAAGAAAAGACAATTTAAGCTGATAAGAAAAAGTTAAAGGTTAAAAGAAAATTGATCAAAAATTGAGGGAACAAAGAGTAAACTATGTCAAAACAGAATAACGACTATTCCCGCTTTTTCCCTTTTTAGCATCTTTTCTTCATCCAGTGTGCATATCAAACTGTTCTTGACTTTCATGAACAGAAACAAAAGTTACACACAATTTCCTTTATTTACGCCCCCTTTATCTGTATAAATTAGTAAATAATACGAGAGAAATAATGATGTTTTGTGAAATATGACCCACAAAAGGCCCAAATCTTTGGACAATTGCAAATATGATTTGAATAATAAACTGTTTGACAAAACGACTAAAAAAAATCGACATCTCTTACTGGCACTCTGTCTCTTTTTCTTATTGTGCTTGTTTAACTTTTTACTCTGGTTTCTTGTTTTCTCTCTCACAAATTTGCAAGTTTTCCCTCTGGGCATGGACAAGCATCACCAGCAGCTGCCACTGGCCAAGTGCGCACGGCAGCGGTGCAGTGAATGGTTTGTTTATAAATTTTTCAGTTTTTTCCTCTTCCTTTGCTTCTTGGCCTTTATTTTGTTACAAATGGTTTTTATTTTCTGGATGCTAGTTGTGGGTTTTTCTAGCTGTGTCATATGCTGTTTTGAATTGGTGTATTCTTGTGCTTCATTACTTGTGTGGACACTTGAAGAAATGACTGTTGGTTTCTGCAGATTTTCCAAAAACTTGTTTTCTTATAGTTCATTTTCCTGCCTTATATAAAGAAAATGAAAGCAGGAAAGAGGATTAGAGTGTTCTTTATATATATGCGGGCAAACCTGTGAAGTAATTTTGGATTAGTTTGTAGTTGATCGGAAACTTTGGTCGTACTTTCTTCGATGTACTATGCGACTTGAAGGCTTGAACTCCATATTTCTTCTCACAACTTACAGAAAATTGGAATTCGCCACGTCCATTTCCTGTAGTTGATGGCCTTCAGTGACTAGTATGATTTATGTATTCACATACTCATGTCCAGTTTGTGAGTCCTGTTGCCTATTGAAAGCTGTGCTCCTCTTAATTGGAGCCATCAGTCACATTTAGCTTGAAGAACATGGACGTTCATCTTCTCTAAGCTCCACGCTCCTATAACCAACATTTTCTTACGCATAAATATGCGTACAAACAGAGAGAGAGAGAGAGAGCGATCGAGTGAAGATTTCCTACTTTCTTTCATGATGTATGCACCAAATATCAAAATATAATAGCTTATTCTCATTTGAAGTTCCCTTATTTCCAGTCTTAATACTCTTAAGTTTCTAAATTAAAACACTATGAGGTTTTTCTTGGAACTTGCAGAAAATGAATCTTAGATTTTTCTTGGACCTAGCAGAAGTCTTATCGAAAATGGATTTGTGTCTGTAACCCCAAGTTTATAGAGTATTAGCAGAGCAGAGTCGAAGTTTAGAGTGAATAGTCCTTTGTTTTTGTTGTAATATCCTTGGATTTTTCTACTCTGTTATTGCATACAATTTTGTTCCTACATCTAAAATCTCTCCTTTATAGTTTGACTTACTTCCAAGTTGTTGATGACCATCGGGTTTTGATCAATGATAAGCTATTTTTAGATGCTGAAATTGCAAATTTTGTAGATCTAAATTCAACAGAATTCAGGAAACTCTTACTTAGCTAAGTGCAGTATCAAAACTAGCTTCTGATATTTAAGAATTATCCTGAAACTTCATCGAGAAAAAGACCCTGTAGAATTTTTCAGAACAGAATTTCACGCATTAAAGAAAGGATATGATGAAATACATGCAGATTAAAAAGTTGGTCCCTTCATTTTCTACTTTTCGAACCCGAGTAAGGAGATCCAAATACTCGATCAGCACTAATTTTGCATAAAGCTATATGCTTAAACAGCCATAAAGCACGATTTATGTTCGATTGTCATTTTCCGTTATCTATTTCTATGTGTAATTTTGCCATAAAATATCATTCCAAAAAACTGAAGGATGTTTTGATTTCTTTATTTTCTTGACATTTACAAAAATGCTACTACTGTTAATAACTGCTGATTGGGTATTGTTCTCTGATAGGGTATCTCGAGATGTTCCCAGCGATATAACTATCGAAGTAGATGGTGATACATTTTCATTGCATAAGGTAAGATTGCATATCATGTTTTGAGTCCAGTTGAGCGCTCTTTGTTTCTTTTAAGTACCTACATTGGTCCTCATAACTGAAGACAATGTCTTAGTTAGCTTCTTCTTCTTCGTTTTTCTTTGTTTCTTTTTAGTTGTTTTTGCTTCAGTTTAAGCTGCCAAAAAGGTATGTGAGCATTCATTCACCGATTATAGTTTTGTGAGCACGCTCTAATGTGGTTGCCTATTTGCTTTTTCCATTTGCATTAAGCATACAAACAATCTCAGATTCACGATATCGCAAATTTTCTAATTGCATTTACGATTATCTGCAGTTCCCTCTTGTCTCCCGCAGTGGCCGAATTCGAAAGTTGGTAGCAGAACATCGGGAGTCTGATATAATAAGGATGGAGCTTCTTAGCCTACCAGGAGGTGCTGAATCATTTGAACTGGCGGCCAAATTCTGCTATTGTGTCAACTTTGAGATTACAGCTGCAAATGTTGCTAATCTATGTTGTATTTCTGATTACCTTGAAATGACTGAGGAATACTCGAAGACCAATCTTGGTTCCCGAGCTGAAGAATATTTGGATAGTGTCGTATGCAAAAGCCTTGAAATGTGTGTTGAAGTCCTCCAGCAATGTGAAAACCTACTTCCACTTGCAGATGAGCTGAAAATTGTTACTCGATGCATTGATGCTATAGCTTCCAAAGCTTGTGTTGAGCAAATTGCTTCAAGTTTTTCGAGGTTGGAGTACAGCAGCTCGGGGAGACTTCACATGAGCAAGCAAGCCAAGTGTGAAGGGGACTGGTGGATCGAAGATCTTTCAGTTCTTCGCATTGACTTGTATCAAAGGGTTATTACAGCAATGAAATGCCGTGGGGTCAGGCCAGAAAGTATTGGAGCGTCACTTGTCACATATGCACAGAAAGAGTTGATAAAGAAATCCAACTTATGGATTCAATCCACTCAGCCAAAGGTTGATTTGGGAACCGATACAAGTGCTCATGAAAGACTCGTAGTTGAGACAATTGTTAGCCTCCTGCCTGTCGAAAATCTTGCTGTTCCTATAAGCTTTCTTTTTGGTATGTTAAGAAGTGCCGTGATGCTTGATTGTGCAGTGTCTTGCAGGCTCGATCTTGAGAGGCGGATAGGATCCCAGTTAGATATAGCTACTCTTGATGACCTTTTGATTCCCTCATTTCGCCATGCTGGAGATACATTATTCGACGTTGATACTGTTCACAGAATACTGGTTAATTTTTCTCAGCAGGAAGATAGTGATGAAGATATGGAAGATGGCTCACTGTTTGAATCCGATAGTCCTCCTTCGCCCTCCCAAACTGCATTGTTCAAAGTTTCTAAACTGGTTGACAATTACCTCGCTGAAATTGCACCTGACGCAAACCTCAAACTCAACAAATTCATAGCCATCGCAGAATCTTTACCAGCACATGCACGCACACTCCACGATGGATTATATCGAGCAATTGATGTCTACCTCAAGGTAAGTCCTATTCCTAACAACATATGTTTTCATCTAGCTTGAGTAGTTATATGTACTTATGATATGTTCGATAAGGTGGACACTAAAGTACTAGAAAAAAAAAAGACAAATTTTGTCTATCATATTGATCACTCTCCTGTTTAGTATTTTGCACCAAACATGTCCTTATCAACTGCTGCATTGTGCAGGCTCATCAAGGTTTGTCAGATCCAGATAGGAGAAAGCTCTGCAAATTAATTGATTTTCAGAAACTCTCACAAGAAGCTGGTGCACACGCTGCACAGAACGAACGCCTTCCCCTCCAATCAATAGTTCAAGTGCTTTATTATGAGCAGATGAGGCTTCGTAATGCCTTATTCTGCTCATATCCAGACGATCCAAAACCGATGCACCAATCCTGGAGGATCAACAGTGGAGCTCTTAGTGCTGCTATGTCTCCCCGAGACAATTATGCATCTCTAAGGCGAGAAAACAGGGACTTAAAACTTGAACTGGCTCGACTCAGGATGAGATTAAACGATTTGGAAAAAGAACATGTTTGTATGAAGAGGAATATGGAAAGATCAGGTTCTCGTAAATTCATGAGTTCCTTTTCGAAAAAGATTAGCAAGCTGAATATATTTGGACATAGTTCTTCAAGAGGATCCAGTTCTCCCTCAAGGCAATCACAGAGAACTGATTCTAAGCTAACAGAAAGAACATGACAAGCATGTATTTATGTATTACAACATATTTTTGATAATATTTCTGTAGTGTTTTTTCCCTCCTCTTGTTTCTCCAGCAATTGTCATGCGTATGCTATATCAAAAGGATAAAAAAGAACAATGATTGCATTTTCAATGAGTATGGCTGTAAAGTTTATCTTGTATTTGTAATTTTCATTGTGTTATCAAATTTTCGAGATTTTTTTACCTTGTTACATTGCGTAGGGACGTTGAGAGAGTCTTAATTCGAGGGAGAACTTAGAAAGTGTTCAATACTCTTATATTCTACAATCAATCAAATAGGATCATGAAGAAAAAAAAATTTCTTTGCAATCGATCATAAACTTACTGGATGCACTTACCTAGAAATAAGAAGGAAAGGCGCATCATAAAAACTATTTGACAATATAAAGTTAACCCGAACTCATAATGCAATCAAGATTTTAATCAGAACGTGCAATTAAGCCAAATTGTGATCAAGTCGATTACGAAACAAAACCACATTAAATTTCCAAGAGAAAAGTTGAAAACAAAACAAATGTGTTCCGATGTATCACAAATGTTGAAATGTGTCGCTATCCCCTAAATTAAACAAAGATTGGCGTTCGATAACAAGGGGTTTTCAAATCTAAGAAACTTATTGCGTTCGGCATAGAAACTCGTACTTTAAGCTGATGATTTGGAATAGAATCGGATGCCAACAGCCACTCCCAAGATAAGCAGGGGAACTAAGAATTGGAGGAGCTTGATGAGGAATTCTGATGTTTTGTCCTGGTTGTAGTGAGGCTGCTTGGGAGGAGTGTACTTGGACTTAGCCGGAATGGTTGATGAATCTATATCGCCCACGTAAAGTTCCTCCATCTGATCCCTTGCACTGCTGCTGTGGCCAACATCCTCAAAATCATCGGTTGCATCCTTTCCTGCCAAGAACAAACAATCAAAATTTATTCATCAAATCCATAACAACATGTTAAGCATTTGGCTAAGTTTACAAAACGCAAAAAGTTTATTTTGTTTCCAATCATGGATGGATATGTAACTTTTATCTTACTTTTAAGTAATAATAGTTACTTATTCTGAGAGTAATTCTTGTGCTACTGTCATAATAAATAACATGCTTATTTTCAATTTTTATCAATAGAAAAATTATTTGTTTTGAACATACTTATTTACATATAAATAAACTTCTTTTAGCCTAGCCAAACATGATGTAGATAAAAATTGAAAATTACAAGATGGTATTACCTGTGGCAGACAACAAAACTTCATCACCACCAGGATGGTCTTCCAAGAACTTCGTCACATCATAAACCTATTCAAATATCCGCATACAACTTGTAACTGAAAGAGAGAATGAAGCACAAAAACATAGTAGATATAGATAGCGTGATCACAGCGTTGAATGAAGCTGTGATAAATAACTAGTTATCCGCCAAAGGAACTTCTTTAATCAAACTGCTATGTGATCAGCTTCTTCCACATGTTATTTTCAGGTTATGCTCGCGTACCGTGCAAACATTTAACCAGATGACCTATGAGGTTTCAAGGTTAAGTACCAGTAAAATGCAACTAGATTTAATTTATATAAAACACGATTAAGAAGTTATAGGAAGTTTGGCTCATTTTTATAAACTATTTATAACACTTAGAGGGTGTTTGGTGGGGATTAAAATTAAATTTATTTTTAGTAAACTGTGATAGAAGTTTTTGAAATGTTTGGTTGAAAAATTGTGGGACCATGAAAGATGTGATTAATATTAATTGTTTGACTTTGACTTAGATTAAAATCTAATTTTAATCCAAACCAAATAGGTCCTTAAGCTACTTTTTATCCACACATTTTGAAGAACTCACAAGTACCACTCATTTCTATCTATTTATGATTTAAATAGTTTATAAACACTCCCCAAACATGCATTGAGTCTTATGGTGATTTTACCGGAACAGTTGAAGTGGAATAAAGAGAAATTTTTATTCTTCAGCCATCATAGTTCTCTATACAATAATCCATGGGAATAATTCATAAACAAAGTAAAAGATTCCTCAGAGTCAACTAAAAATTGAGCTGAGAACAATACAGAAAGAAACAATAGATTTGCTCAATCGAGTTGGCTGCAACAACAATTAGTTGTTCCATGAGAACAAAGACAAGTACAAAACATTGCATAGTTCACGTCAAAAGGAGAAGCTTCAGGTAGATTTTTTCCGCATTAATTCTCTAAATAACATATCATTAATTATGGAATTTTCATCTAAGTGCATAATGCAAGGTGGGCTATTTTCTACATAGCATCACGACAAATATTGTATCTTATCCTGAGAAACCCACGTGGATTTTGTTCGTGTTGAGTGATAACAAATTTGTAATACAAAACCGCAAAACTCAATAGTATATATTTTCGACAAGAAATTAACTTGCAATGAATTCTCCTGCATAACCACGTCCAATGTTCAGGGGGATCTCAGCAATTAAACTACTGATATTCAAGTAGACAATTTAGACATCATTACATTATTACTTCACGAATCAAGACAAAAAGATTCAAATGACAGCGAGTTGCGCACAATAAAATGGTTAAAGATGCCGAATTCTCCAAAGAGCATGAGAATCGAAAATCAAACATGCGTTACGGAGTTTAAGTCAAATTTCATACAAGAACAAGATTAATTTGCACAAAAGATACAATGCCGTATAAACAAAACCCTAAATCAAGAACTGGTCAAGATTGAATCCTGATAGATCTAGATATGAAATTCCCAAAACAAAATCGGACCCATTAAAGTAATCATAAAAGCGTATTAGCTTCTCAATGAAAATCAAAATAATTCTTACACCTTGCCATCAATGATAAGCCAACAGTCCTTGGGGGTGTTGTGCTCAGCAACCTCAGCCAAAGTAAAAACTTTTCCCATTCCTAATCCTGCAAGAAGGGCTTGAAAGTTAAGTTTGGGCAGGCGTTTTAGAGGAAATGAAGAGTCTAATGGGAGAGTATATTGATGGGGAGTTGGTGAGGTAGATTTAAGTTGGATTTGAAGTTGGTGGGAGAGGAAAAAACGGGCTGTCAAATGTAGGTGTTAACCTACAATTGCAGTTGGTAGTGATGCTATTTATAATGTCTTCTCTGCAAGATATTGTATCCATGACCCTATATTTTTGTATAATTTCTCTTCTTCCCCAAAGGATCTTCAAAGCGTTCTTGATTTCTAGATACCCTAAGTTCTTGTTTTTGTTTTTTATATAAGAAGATTGGTTGTTATTCTCGAATAGTATGACAACAAATAGAAGAGATACGGTTTATTGTCTTAAGTATGTTCTTGATTTTATCATAGTTTAATTATTATTATGAATAACAATTCAGAAGTAAATTAGTATCAATTTCATATTCAATCGTTATATATATATATCCTATCATTATATATCCTATCGTGTTGATTTTCATGTGATGGGGCCCGTGAGGACTGTATTGAAAAAGAAAATTTGAGAAATGCATGTCCAATTTATTTATTTTTTATTTTTTAAATTAATGGGGTCCTCATTTGAAACCCAAAAGCTGTAACCTTATAAAAAATGGAATAAAAGTGTACCACGATTTTCTCGTGGGAACATGTCTAGACAAAGAGAAACTACTAGAGTAAGATAAAAATTTGTGGCTCAAAATAAATTTCTTATATTTCTTGATTCAAGTTCAGTCCAAATATATGTTAAAAAATTGGTAAAGCTCACCTCATGGCTCGTTTCATCTTAAAAAATAATAATAATAATAATAATAATAATAATATATATATATATATATATATATAATTGCTTTTATTAAGTTTTCCAACGTCATACATTTTATTTTATTTTATTTTTAGTAACTATTATGGGTGGTGAACATCCAAAAATGCTAGTAGTCACAAAAGAGGATCATAATCTTAGGCATGAAAGTGATATTTTGTCCAAAATTCATAAATAACTTGAAAATGGGGTCTCTACTTCCTTTTTCGGACTTCATTTGTAATATATATATACACACTTCTTTATCGTGTTGCATCTTTGGAAGCATAATATATACTCGCATGCAAAGCTAAAGTGTCTGCCCAATCACCTGGAAAAAAAAAAATAATAAAATAAATAAATAAATAAATAATTTGATAAATCACAAGTAATCATTTTATTTTTTATCAAAAATATTTTTAGAACCTAAACTTCGTCCCTATCTAATTTAGCTAAAAATCATGCTTTTGATAGATTTACATAAAGTTGATAAGATGTGTCGTTGAAAAATGAATAAAATTTGTTAGTTTTATGAAATGTGTAATTGACAATAAATTTGAGACAAAAAATTGAAAATGAAGACCAAACCTGGCTTCATGTCTGGCAATGGACGCAAGTATAAGAAAAAGGTATTTACAAAATTGTCCAATATCACGAGTGTCAATTCAAAAATGTCCACTTTTTAAATTTACTACTAAACTATCTATTATGTCCTCAATGAAAAAATGAAGCAATTAATTTTGTTTTCCAATTTGTCACTGATTTTGAGAAGTAGCTTTCATGAAAAGTTACATTAAAATAATGTTCTCGACATTTCAAATTTGGTTCTCGATATTTGAACTCTGTTTATAATTCAAAAGTATACATGTCAAATCACAATATTAAATATTCTCAATATTTCAAAATGTTGTTCTCGACATATTAAATGTCTAGAATGACATTTCATTCCGAACACGACATTTCTCTACATTTGAAATGTAGTTCTCGATATTTCTGTGTCAATGAAAAAAATAACATTTATTATGATTTAACGTGTGCACTTGTGAAATTAATAAGGTATGTTATGTGTCAAAATTTTATTTGTCAATAAAATTATTAGTTGCAAAAATGTCCATTTTTGTTTTTGTGTGGAATCATAAATTGTTAATAAGGGTATTTTGGTCTAAGGTATTTCAAAATGGATATTTTTACAAGGATTTGCAAAGATGGACATTTTTGCAAATAAATATGTGAAAGTGGACATTTATAATAATTTTATCTATAATAAATCACTTTTTATTAGCTGGATGGAATTGGAATCAGATCCACTTAATAACAGAACAAAAGGGAAAATTACATCATTGCAGGTATTTGAAGATCACACTTCAAAAATCAGGTACAAAACATATTTAATCAGAAATCATGTAATAATTTAATATTTTATTAATAATAATTATATTCCTACTTCGATACCCACCAGAAAACCTAAATCATTTTATCCCATTATCTCTCTCTCTCTCTCTCTCTCTCTCTCTCTTACTCTCCTCAACAATGAGTAGCCATAGTTGGAAGCCGTCGTCGGAGAGCACCGTCGACGATGCTGTTGTGATCTACTGCTATGCGATCTGGAGATGGTGCAGTCTGTCTATTGCACTGCTCACGAAAAGTTGCCTCTCTATCACTCTGCGTGCAGCGATGTCGCCGTTCATCGCGCTGTCGTGTGCAATCAACGCTGCTAATGGTGTTAGTGGATCGTGGTAGTGCTAATGGAGTTGGTGGTTCGTAGCAAGTGCAGTGATGCCACTATGACTACAATTGATGGGATCCAATTCTAAATAGTTCCGCAGTGCTCTCGGTCAATTGGGACTGTTGAGGTGGTGATGATGTGTGGTTGTGGTTTTAGTGACAGTGGTTTTGGTGATGTGGTGGTTGTAATTGGATTTGGTCGGTTGTAGTTCTAGCCGCAATGGATTTGGATGGTGATGCGATGGTCTTGGCGATTCGATCTGTTGAGTTGGCGGTGGTTTTAGTGGCGATGGTTTTGGTAATGTGGTGGAGGTGATTGGATCTAGTGGGTTGTTGTTCTAGCGATGGTGGTTTTGGATGGGAGTTTGGGTGTAGTGGTGGTGGGCTTTCTCTTACTTTTTGGGTGATGGTGACTGTGACGTTGGTTGGCGGTGGTGGTCGTGGAAGTGGCGACGGTGGTTGTGGATGGGATGGGTGGCGGGGGCGATGGTGGTGGTGCTGGTCCAATCTGATTGTTGGTGGTGGGGAGTAGACGGCGATGGTGGTGGTGGTGATTTTTTTTGCTAAATTGGTGTTTGTTTTGTTGACAATATTGGTAGCATTGCAGTCGATGGTGTGGTGCAAGCGGCAATTGCACGGTAGTGATTTGTGATTGGTGTTTGTTTTGTTGACGGTGTGGTGCAATCGACGATTGGATTGTGGTGATTTGTGACCAAGATTAGTGTTGGATGGGACCGGTGGTAGGGGTGATCATAAAGTTTGGTTTGGTCTGTGACCTTAAAAATTGACTATCTGTGACAAAAAAGAATAATCTGTGACCTCAACGATTTGGTCCGTAACCTTAAAATTTGACGATCTGTGACTAAAACAATAATATGTGACCTCAACGATTTGGTCCGTGATCTTAAAATTTGATAATCTGTGACTAAAAAAATCTGTGACCTATAAAATTTTCGATTTGTGATCTTGAAATAATCCGTGACCAATTCATTTAATAATATGTGACTGATATATAAATCTGTGAAATCTGTGACCATTATTTGTTTAACTGTGACTTTAATATATTTATTTAATAAATAATTTTAATTAATTAAATACAAACCTGAATTTTGAATTTTTCAACTTTTTACCTGACTTTTGAAATGGTGTAAAGAATACACCTTAAATATGAATTTTTCCCAGAACAAAATTGGAGAAGTTAGGCGGGCCAGGTTAATTTGTAGCCCAATCACACGACTTGTCTGTCCACTGAAAAGTGGGTGAAACTCACAAATTAGGCCCAGTTTGATTTTCATTAGTTGCACATTAAAATGAAAAATATGATCATTATTCATCACATCAAATTACCATATTTAACTTTCTATCTCTTGTGTGAGGCCTGTAACGACTATATTTTTTATTCTTATTTTTACATTAATGCGTACCAAACGGTGCCCTAAGTGTCAACTATACACAATTCAATTTTCAAGTATCAAGTTTCAAAATGTAAAACTCAGGTATTAGCTAATAAATTAAATATAGTAAGTCAAGATTATACGATTAATTGTCACATGTACATAATTATAGGTTACAATTTAATTATTGATCACATATTATCAAATTAATTGGTCACGAAATATTTCGAGATCACAAATAAAATTTTTTATAGATCACTGTAGAGTAATCATAATACTTAAATTGTGAATAAATAAACCTCAAGAACCTAATTTATGAATTGTGATGTTTAAATACCCGTGGGTTGTAATTTTCTCTTGGAAAATTGACATAAAAGCACTAAAATGGGAGATATAGCGTATTAGTATTTGTTTTTAGAATAATTTTATGTAATTCTATTGGAGTTGTAATCCCATTTTAAGTGACGCTAAATGATAGGGTAAATAATAGCTGAAATTCACTTATCACTTAATGCATCAACAACATTATATAAGCTGGAATTGATACTCTTCACCCATTCAAATGATCACACACAACTCATCGAAGTGCAAAATACTTTTTATCGTCCCAAGTTAAGTTGAGTTAATATCTTTACGCGATCTCAATCTCCCATGAAGTCAACTCAAAATGAAAATCATATCTTTTGTGATTTTTATTTTATTTTATTTTATTTTTGTGACTATGGTCAAGGCTCTTTTCACGTTATTATTTGTTTTCTTGTCCATTTATTTTTGTTTAAATTTTCATTTTCAAAACTTTTCAACTTTTATTTTCACAACTAAACCCAATCCAAGAAATTCTTCTAAATGTTTAGAGTTTGTTATTATTTTTTGATTGAGAAATGATGTCTAGAAAAATTCAATGGAGTATAATGCGTGCTTAGTCAATAAAAAGTAGGCGGCTATTTCTCGACTTGCATGCTGGATGATTACGTGCAATATTAATTTTTGGAAAATTAAAAATGTAGGTTTCAAATTTTTCAAAAGAGTACAGATAGCTTCCCAACCTTTAAATTGAAACAAATACGTCTCAAATTTTTTTAAAATATACGATAGAAGGAACTTTGAACGATTTTCATCCAGAATTTCATTAATTGACCAAAAGTCAAATATTTGACTTTTTTTTTTAAGATAACAAAATGGTGATGGTAACTCTACAGTTTCTCACCTTAAACAATTGAAATAATTAAATAAAAAGAAACAAAAATAGGAAATTAAAAAAGAGAGATTCTTTAATCTTCTTTCATCCATTTTTTCTTTTAATATTGATCAATATTACCGATGGATTTGTTAAAAGTTGGATCATTGGTACACGTAATTTTATATTTCAAGAATATTAATTTTAGCAATAATGCTACTCAATCAGGTTTAAAAACAAGTTAGAAAACGGGGATTTGAATTTGCTGAGTTGGCATTTAGAATACAATTAAAAACAATATTAAACTAAATAAAAAGGGCAAAAGCAGGCTAAAAATACTTAGATACAAAATCGACTACAGCAAAGGAAAAATCAATTCATTCCAAACCCTCCCTCCCGTCGTCGCGCCTTCGCTGACCGGAGCACCTTCATCAACCAATATACCGCTACCATTTGCCAACCAGTATACTACTAGTCACCATCCAAGAAGTAAAAAAGCAATCGTATGAAGAAACAAGTTGAATGAATGCAGCACATAGCAAGATATTTTTCTTGAGTAATATTGTCAAACATCAAAGATGCATTAAAAATGAAATTGCCTTTTGTGGAATTAAAAGGAGAATCTACGTTACTAAGGATTTTCAGCTGTTCTCGTGGAATACAATGCCGTAAAAGATGAAAATCTGCTTTGTGAATGATATCTTGAAATAAATTTGATGGTAACGATGTTGATCTTGAGGAGCATTGCATGCTAACTTTTCCCTTGTTTCTTAGCATGTCTGTTAAAAAGGAAAACCGGGTGATTCTTGGCATTTCTTTACGTAAGATTATCAATAAATTGAAATTTGAAACGCTTCGCTGAACTAAAAAGTGGTCAACTTTTTTCACTATTTCAATGAGACAATGATCACTGAAATTTTAAGCCCGTTTAATAAAAACTTAAAATCAAGATTTTAATTCACAGTCAATATTTACAATTAATTTTAATGATATACTCGTCGGCAAATGGTGCTCTGATCATTGATTTTTGGGCTTTCACATGGGAGATACATGAGTTCTTTTTTCTAACCCATTTCTCCAACTTCTTGGACAGTGAATATCAATATACTAGTCGGCGAACAGTAGGGGTATGCTGATCGTTGAACAGTAGCGGTATATTGGTCGGTGAAGAGTGCTCAAGTCGGCGAAGGCACAACGGCAAGAGGGAGGGTCTGGAACGAATTTATTTTTCCTTTGCTGCAACCGGTTTTATATCCCTGTGGTTTTAGCCTGTTTTTGCCTGTCTAGTTTAATATTGTATTTTATTGTATTTTAAGTGCCAATTCAACAAATTCAAATCCCTATTTTCTAGTCTGTTCTTAAACCTGTCTGAGTAGCATTATTGTAATTTTAGCTATGGAAGTTGGTACACGTAATCTGATGAGTTCATGCCCTTGAACGTTTCCCAAATGAATAGACTTAATAAACCAAAACCGACTCCAACTACTAAAAGTTTCGTATCAATCGCTAAAAGAAAAATCATTGATACAAGGGTCAATGTTCTATTAGCTATACATCAATTTGGACATGCACTCAAGGCTATGGCATCAAGTAGACAACTACTAAACAAAGACTACTCAACAAATGATTGAACAAACTCTCCAGAATCTTATGCGGTATAAATACTCTACTAGCATGGTTTGATGATATCTTACCTCAAAATCCGCTCAGGTGGTGAGCAGCACTAACTGAAGTAGCGGCGTCGCAAGTAAAGGAATAAGGCTGTCAAGGCAGCCATAGTATAAGGGAACACTGTCCAGATTCCCTGTAACAACACATTTTTTACTCAAATAATGAAGTTCTGTCGTTGTAGAAAAAGAAATTAGTGGACGTACCACTACGGTCGCAACAGTTGCAAGAGCGAAGACTGGTCGCTCTCTTAGCAAGAACCCTATTCCCAACTGCAATTGAAAAAAGTAAATGAGGACAAGAAGGGAACTGATTATGGATTCCATCAAATAGGTGAATCCTTAGTTTCAATGAGAAAGATATAGACTATTTGGAAAATGACATTAGGGGAAAAAAGGATAATGAGTGGCTGCGGAAGGAGAGACGTATTCGTGTTGAAGGATGGTGAGTGGACGTTCAGGAGGTCTGCCTACTACATCATTTCTTTAGGTGATACAACCATATCAACTGAGCAGTAAAACTCACTGCCATTTTTTTCTTTTTCATTGTCTTGATGGATTTACCCCTCTACATGTTATATGCCATTGAATGATTTTTTTTCAACATCTTTTCCCACCAGAATTGTGTTTTGTAATGCATAAGACAATGCACTTTCGTTTCAAATTTAGCAAATATGCTTCTGATATTATCTTTCATGCAGTGAGAATTTCGATTTTAGAGGGTACCAAATCAATATGACACTTAGCAGGAAAAACAATTCAACTATTTGTGCAGGTGGGCTCATCATGTTATAATGTAATGTGCTTAACTATCAAGCAAAAGTTCAATAACCTGAATCGGAAGAGTTATCAAACCACCACAGCAGACACCAGCAAAGAAGCACTCTGGCGATACGTCCTGCAATCAAATTGATGGGGGTGACCAGTTCAGGGACTTTTGGCCAATTTTCTTTATTGCATAGACAAATTCTTTTGAGTTGGCATAAGTGCATTGAACTCAGTGTTTACAGAATCAAGAATTTTATTCAAATTAATGTGAATTCATAACTTTATATAATATGGAAGAGACCCGCTTATGGAAAAATATTGGAAGATAGAAATGTATGAACAATTTCAGTATGGTAAAGAAAGATTTCGGTATAACAAAGAAATGGTTGCTTACCATGGCCCCTGCCAAAAAAGCTGTAGGATTTCTCACTCCAATAGAAAATCTTTCAACTGCACATAAATCCCCATAAAATTGATTGTGAAGACAACATAAAAAGCCACGAGGAAAACAGGAAATGTTGAAAAAACCCAGCGATTGGTTAATGATTTTGTTTTCCTCAACCGCATTGATCATAAATGTAAGCAAGCAGAAAAAAGTGGTGGGGAGAAAAAAAAAAAAAAAAAGAGACATTTGAAACACTATGAACACAATTTTATGAGTAACATATGTTACTCATCTCATTCTCAGAAATACATGGATAAAAATTAGAAGGGCAATTTTCAACTTTTCACTATTGATAAGAGAACATACAAGATTCAGACTAGCATTTGAACTTACCAAATCCAACAAGATTCCCATATTTTTTTACTGTGCGTGTAATGTCCATTGCTTTCTCTTTGCCAATCCCTAACTACAGTACCAGAAAACAAGAAAAAAAAAGGGGGGGGGAAAAAAAAAAAAAAAAAAAAAGAGACATTTGAAACACTATGAACACAATTTTATGAGTAACATATGTTACTCATCTCATTCTCAGAAATACATGGATAAAAATTAGAAGGGCAATTTTCAACTTTTCACTATTGATAAGAGAACATACAAGATTCAGACTAGCATTTGAACTTACCAAATCCAACAAGATTCCCATATTTTTTTACTGTGCGTGTAATGTCCATTGCTTTCTCTTTGCCAATCCCTAACTACAGTACCATGAGGAACATAGATATAAAAACAATCATATATATACAATAAAATGTGCAGGTTGGTTAACATAATATGCATACAGAACTTATGCAGGTCAAAGTATCCGGCAGAACAAACCTTAGAAGAAATATCATCGGTCGCCCCGGATTTTCTGAAAATCTTCCCAATGTAAAATGGTATCATATCGCTGATGCAAACTCCCCTGACAATATATGTGTCCCATGTAAGGTGAATGAAAAAGTTAGGATTTGTTACATAGAAAGTAAAGTATCCAAACATTTATCGAAATGTATGAAGAAAAGCTAAGAACATTGCAAAATTGTCAAATGCAGTAATAATGAGATAAATTTGCCTATGGAATGTAATATTGGCTCATGCAAAAGTTATTCAAAGGAAACAGGAAAAAAAATAAAATAAAATAAAAAATAAACTGACCAGTATACCCACACAATGGTGGATAATATGTATGGTGCATTTCTAGAAAACGAATGAACTAAAGACTGACATGTCCCATCCAAGGAAAGCATGCGTGCTAAGGTGATGCCAACCTGCATCATTTTAAAATGCTTGATGAAATTTAAAGACAAAACCAAATATGGGGGGGTGTTAAATATAGGAGTCTGTGGAACAGAGATACCAGCGCAAAAGACAGACCCATATATTTAAAGCTTCTTCACTAATGAAAAGTCCGCAACCAGCAGCCATCAGCAGCCAAAAGTAGATCCATCTGAAACCAGGAAACTAGTGAAGCTTCAAAAAAATAAAAATTAAAAAAAAAAAAATGGTTCTGTGTGAAATATAGTATAATGTATGATGAATGAAAATCTCGTTTGTTTATAATAACAGTATAAGAGATTGTGGCATCAAAAAGAAGCCAAAACCAGAAAATCAAAAACTAGGAAGTTGGAGAAGATGAAACATGGAATGCAAGGTAAAAAAAGATAACTGATATTCTAGTAAATCAAGAAGAAATAGAAGCATACCCTGGGGCATATTCTGGAAGCAAAACTCTGTATCCAAAAGCCTTGAAACTAAAAGCACCAGCAGGTACAGCTAGAGTGGAAGAGGATGAACCATCACGCAGAAACTGCATTCCAGGAGATGATCCCTGATTAGGCTGCTTCATACCAACTGATATCAGTGTTATCACTGCAGCTATTCCAAGGGCTATCCCTAATTTTGAAAGAAATGAACTTCCAGTGCTTGCAGTTTCACTTTGTAGACTTCCTGAGGCAATCTCAGAATTTATATCTTGTCCTTTAGGAGTAATTTTAGATGTTTCTGACTCATAGCTTTCAGTACTTTCATGCTGAAAGCTGTTGATCCTACGTTAGAGTGAGAGATGAAAAATCTTTAGGCAACAACTACTATTACAGGGCCTTCTGAAACAAGATACGATAATGCAGGCATAACATCTCAAAAAAGATTTGATAAATAATTTACATCCCCCCCCCCTTTTGATGCTCGGACTCTTCGAAATGGTTGGAGTACCTGTGTCGGACACGACACGACATGGATATGGGTATGGGATATGTGTCGGATCCTCCAAATTTTAACCGGACACTTCGCCGTTTTTTACTTCTTCTTTTTTCTTTTCCTTTTCTTTCCCGTTTCCTATAATTGAAAACTAAACTCCAAAATTATATTTTATTAGTCTTAACATCTTATTTAATACTCATTTCCTTTTTGTGAACTATTGATTTTGGTTTATTCAAAATGATATCTAGGTTTAATAAAAAAAATTGAAGCTTGAAAGACGTACCCACGTACCCGTGTCCAACATTTGGATTCTTTTTAACCATGTCCCCATATCCTAAATTTTAAAAAATAAAAGATCCGACACTTAGATACGTATCCGTACCCAATACCCGTACCCGAGTCCGAGTATCATAGGTTGCATAAAGATTGGAATTCTTTCTATTTCGATCATGCCATTAGAATGGCCATTTAATTAAATGAAAACTTCTTAACACATCTTTTCCCTAAAACCCCCCTTATTAAAATGATGAAATGCATTAAAGATTAAACAAAAACATTTTCATTGGTGTGACGTGTAACAATTCTGGGAACCTTTCATTTTCCACCTCTCTCTCTCTCTCTCTGCATTCCTCATTTTAGAAACACCCCACAAGTTAAGTCACCTTCTCTCCCCACTTCACCCCTACTCCCTGCACCATCAGTTTAATTCACCTCACTCAGTCCATACATTTGTTTGACACCCGAGTTTTCACCAACACTGGTAGTTACCTTTCCAATAGCCATCAAGAATAAAGGAAGATTCAGGATAGTACAGGTGGAGTACATGAATTTGAGATAGATTTTATGCAGGTGATATCTACAAAGAACTAAACTTGAAGAACAAGAAGGAAATTTAGTAAATACCAAAGCTAACTTAATTTGCAATAATTTAATACAATTTGGACAGAGATGAAATGGATAATTTCCCATGATTTTATGCCAATGAATCTGCTTCAGCATAGTCATTGACTCATGTTCTTGTTAGCCCAAATCATCTTTGTGGAGATCTCACTTGATACAAATGTAAACTCAAGAACTAATAATATGAGGAAGTATTTTATAGTGACTTAATTAAGGAAACAAATAAATTTGAATGCACGATTTCACATTTTATTGATTGAGTATGCAGGCATTGCATAGAATTCTTTTTCTTGTATACACCTAAGCCAGTTAACCAATCCGTATTTCTGATTTTTATGTACTCTATTTGGTCAGTCTAATCCAGTTTCTCCAATCAAATAACTCCAAATTGCTTCATTCATAACTTATCTAGTGATTGATCTCAACTAGTGTCTAACAAGATCATATAATTTTTTTATACTTCCACCAACGAGGAAATCTAGAAAATTTCAATTTGAATCAAATTGATGAATGTTGCTCGTCAATTTGAGATTTTTGGGGATGAAATTGAGTCTTGCATCCCAATTACTTGTGCTTATTGTAGCATTATCGTCTACAATTGTGCTAGTACAATAAAGATCATGTTTAAGTCATGGAGCCCAATAATTGCCACTTTGTGGAGCCATCATAAAAGAGAGAGAGAGATCAGAGAAGATAGGTGTGCAATTTTATCTTGTAAACTTTTCTCCATCATAGCGAATTACTACAACGCCGGAAGATGTCGAAATCTCACGTTGAGGGTAAAACCTCTATAAATCTTGCGTATATTTATTTCTGTTTATTGATTGTTGTTGGTGGAATAGGATTATGGTTTCTAATTCTCAACATATCATTCTATAGCAGAGGCATTAGCATAAATATAAGTATAGAACGTGGTTGCAAATTATCTGTAAGTCCATAAAGACAAAAGCCCTATCTAAATTTCGAAGAGCAGCAGTCCTGAGAAAAAAATTTGACATCAATTTATCAAATCTGCAGCTTGTTCCCATCGTTTTCTACTCTAAATACTTGTTGGTATTAGGTGAATCCACTTCTAGCTTCCACTATCCCAACAGTTGGTCAAATTGCTTCAAATAAACAACTTCAAACCAAACCACCAAAATATTTCATCTTTAAACAGAAAACCAGATACATTTAGTTAATCTCCATTAGCACACCAACAACTCTTCTCTAGATGCTAAAAGCACACTGTCCGGTCAAATATTTTACTGACAGTCTTTTCAGAGAAATGATTAAAGCACCATAACACTAAATCAAAACCTTACACACCATTGGCGTATACTGGAACTAACAATACTACTTAAGTTACAGAAGAAGATTCTACCAAGACAATTATACCCGAAATTGGCAGCAAGTAAAAGTGAATAAAGCATACCGAGAAGTAGAGAATTTGAACAGTTTTGCATTCCCCAAAAAGATACTGAGACGGATATTATGAGTTGTCAAATGCGTGAAGTTTCGATTGCGAGGAGGCCGGGAAGCCGCCGGAGGGCGATTGAATAGCGAAGGCACATTCGTCAAAACAGCCATTAACGGCTGCAGCTTTGCTGTTTGGTTTAGCTGCAGAGAAATGAGTAGGGGGGTTGGTGCAGAGCCTTAAGAGGACATGAGTTTGCCATTTGGTGCAGTTTGGGTGGTTGCGGGCGAATCCAGTGGGATATGCTTGGTTTGTTCCACAGAAAGACTCGGGGTGCGCATAGGAAAATTTGCAGCTCAGTCCCCCAACTATTGTTATTTGAATCACTTGAGTTTTCATGTAAATTTTGTTAATTTCAAATTCACCCCCCCCAACCCGACGCTGATCTTCCACATGAGCTCACATCGATGACAAGGTTTTGACATCCAAAAATCGGCTCTTCATCATGTGGTATTGTGATATGCTTTCCAATTCACTTTTCCCTCAATTTTGGTGAATTGGGAGAGGCCTATTTTGTGCTCATCGGAAAGCAAGGGGGAAGAAAACTCCTCCAGTTTTGCAATAACCAATAGGGGAATTGCTGTATATTATTTGTATCATTCAATTAAGTGAAAAATGACATTTTTGCTGCAGTCATATTCACATTGAATCCCAAAATGCATAAAATCTATGGCGGCTCTAAAGTAGTAAAATCTTTTATGGAGTAAGTTTCGATCCACAAAAAGAGACGTACTGTTTCAAATTGAGGCTCGGTAAAATAGACATGTATGTGAAGATGCGAGTTACCTGAACTTAGAAATAAAGACCCTACCCTATTGATTCTTTCATGTAGAGCCTCTCGTTTTGTCATTATGCCTCGGGAAGTGCCCATTTCTTGAATGGATCTCATATGAATTTTTTCCGTATGGCATTTTTCTTGCTTTATTCACGAAATAAATGAAGAATAAATCACTTTGATGTTCAATTATTTCCATGCTATGGAGAAAACTCATGGTAACATTATTTGATGCTCAATTACTGACAGAACAAGACTTTGGTGTAAGCCGCAAATGTTAATATAAGATTTATTTATGTTACGTTCTCTAAGTTTTCAGTTTTAGAGAGTTGATCGAAGCAAATGAAAGTATGAATCAAATGATAAAATTGTAATAAAACGAAATTCACTTACCTACACCAAAATAATGCAGTATCCGATTCTTCTAGGCCAAACCAAAAAATTGAGACATAAAATTGCTAACTTCGTCCACTACATATTCCCTTCCATTTCTTATGTAAGTAAAAATGGCACATTTCTTGAAATGGAACAATTTTTTATGTAGAAATCACATGGAAATGTAGAGACAAAATGAATTGTACATTTCTCTATTTGTTTTTTCCTTTTTAACAAAGTAATTTTAGAAAAAAATATTAGAGCCTGTTTGAGAGTGATTTTGAAAATTGATTTTTTATCGTTAAGAGAAAAGTGGGGTTCATCTGTGAGAGAATAAGTCAAATATGACGACTGGAATAGTGAAATAATGGTTAAAAAATTAATTTTTTGGATGAAAAAATCGCTCCCAAACAGGAACTTAGTTTGATGTTCAATTCAATTTTGAGATTAAAAGAACTCATGTCGACACTGAGAAAACTAAAGTTTATTAAACTTTTATTTGAGCCTCATTCTTTAATTTTTTTTTTTTTTGTCACATAATCATTTAATACAATCCTTTTGCACGTAAACTCAAAATATTTTCTTATTTTTAATTGATTTTTTTTTAAATCACTTTTTTCAAAAATAAATTCTCAAAAAATCTACATCCGGGCTTTTAAGGAAATGTTCAAAACAAGGTACAAGACAAGACCTTCTATTATAATAAATAAGCATGGATTGGAGAAATTTAACATATAATGCAGATCAAGTGAAAGTTTTAGCTTCTAATTATTTGCCACTCATTTTTTTTGTCCACTTTCAAAGGACAAAAACAAATTTGGGTGGTTTATACGTACGCTTTCTTCCATAATGCGTTGATTCAACTTTAAAGCGAAAAATTGGTTGTTCTAGAACATTAATGTTTGGCCACCTTTCTTTATAATTTACCTAAGATTTGCGTTTTATCGGAAAAAAATAGTAAACTTTATTAATAAAATATATTCCTAAAAATCAATTTTTGTTTTTAAGTAGAATAAGTAATTTAAAAGTAGATTACACCCCGGTCTGATTTTATTTTATTTTTTAAGAAGTAATGTCCTGAAAAAATGATTAATTCCTATACAATTATAAATTCAACTCAAGCCCAAACAAATGAGGTGATTTTTACAACCTTATAATTCTTTTGACGAAAAACAATATTTTCCTTACAAATTTATGCATTCATCAAACTTCAAGGGTGAAAATATCAATGTTTAGCCTTTTACAAAAAATAAATAAAAAAAAAGGACGAACGGCGAGCCTCCTAGGTCACCCCACCAAGGGAGCAGGTTGATGGGGTGAGTCAAGTCGGAGTATTTGGAAACAAACCAACTCACACTATATTCATTCCATATGCGAATGCATACTATCTCGCAAGGTGGATTGAGCTGAGCCCTATGATGAGCGAGCCGAGTGGCTCGACTCGACTAACTTAATAATCGTAATCTTTTATATATTTGAATTCACAATTAATTTTGAGAGTCAACAAAATCAGCCAGCCTAGCACATCAATTATAATTATAATAATATTATTATATCTCACTCAAACTTTCAGACGTATTCAAATTCAAGAAATGATAGAATACCTCGTCAAATATGCATTTCTACGTTTGAACTTGCAGAGTTTAAAATACTTTTGCCAGATAATATGGAAAAAAAGTCTAAGCAAAGGCATGTGCATACACTTATTCTTGATTTATTTAATTTGTTGTCAAGATTTCTAATGACATTCTTAAAGTCAATTGGCTTCAAAGATCCATTGTACCTGTCTTTGAGGCGCATGTTTTGTGTAGTGGCATATTTCTTGAAGGTTATATTATATTATATACAAATAAAATGTCTTGAAACTTCAATCACTTTATTGCGATGAATTTTGCTAGTTTGTCAAAATTATTTTGATAAAATGGCTGACATCCTCTCACATGTCTCATAGGTCCCGCGTGAATAAAGAAGTCCTCAAAAAAAAAAAAGTGGACCCCACAGCCATTGTGAGTATCGATCAGATTGCATGTCAACCATTTTCGATCACTGTAGCATGATTGTATTGCAATACATCATGATAAATTTGTGGAATAACATATTTAAAAGTTTAAATTGTTAATAAATATCTTATGTTTTATTTTAATTTGACCACTTGTGTATATTTTGGATTTATATACATATTATTTTTGTTGAGGGCAAAAAATGACGCAGCACTTTTAAACTAATTTAAAGAGATTTTAACAGAATAGTTGTGTTATATTTTATTAGACTTTGAATATAATAATAACGTAACTTGTTGAAATTATAGTACAAGTAATATTGAAAGATTTTTGACGGTTCAACCTTTCTTGTTGGGCATTTACCCCCTTTATAGCACACTAGAATGGAGTTTGTCGTACTAGTCAAATGAAGCTATGATGTCCGACATGTGTAACGCCCCAAATCTACCTCTCACACGGGCGTCACAATATGCTTGTGTGCAATTGTCATTTTTAGAGAGATTTGATTGGTTGTAGAGCTCGATAATAGTGGATTATCATGATACCTTGCCATCAAAGGGGAAATACCTTTTCAGCCGCATTATGATTATGTTTTCAAATGACGTCTTCCATAGATCGACCTGTATGGTGAAGCATTGGGTTCACTTTTTGAATTTTATATGATTTTGATAAGAAATAGCTCATTTGATCAATTCAAAGTGGACCTTCAAATGATTCGACATGAATTTTAAGATCGACGCCAACAATTTTCAATTGACATTGTGTAAATTTACTACAAATTATTATGGTGCCAATACTTGATGCGGGATTATATAAACTTACGTAATGATTGTACAAATTCTTTGGATATTTCAATTAATATGAATGATTGCACTTAAGTGATCAAATTATATTGCATACTTCAATGTTACATGATCAATCGTGATTATTAGATTCCTTTTGTTTTTAAATTTATATGAATGATTGTACTTAACGTACTAATTTTTATTCCGCGCGTCAACATTACGTGACCCAACCATGATTGAATGTCATTACTAAGTATAAAAGAATTTATCAAACACACTAAGTGCTAGATTAGGATAGCTTAAAAAGCATCTAAAATTTAAAGTTCAAAGTCAATAGTTAATTTTAATTGTAAATTTCATGTGCCATCAACTTTTATCAACTCTTTAATTCCACATTTCATCAAAATTTATCAAATCATGCTAAACTTTATCAAAAGATATCAAACAACCGTAAGGGTCCGTTTGATTGCAAAGATGGAATTGAATTGAATTGAAAACGAATTTAAGGAAATTGAATTTTCTAGAAATTGTTTTCTTGAGAATTGTAAATTATTGTATTTGATCGGTATAATTTTTCATGTGAAAAATGTTAAAATAAAAGTATTTTTTGGTGTTCGTTTGACTTTATTTTACATGAAAATTGTCAATTAAAAAGATAGAATTTATTGGTATTGAAAATGAAATTTGTTTCCATTGCCAATAAAAAAAAAAACTAGAAAATCATCTATCTTTTGATGTTCGTTTGGTTTTGTTTTATATGAAAATTGTCAATTAAAGGGAAATATTTTTTTTATAATAATTCTTAGAATTAATTTCTATTTCCAAAAAAAAAAAATTTAAAAAACAAACAATGGGTTGGAAAACCAAAAAAAAAAATCACAATTTTCAAGACAAACAAGGAAATCAAATTTCATGGAAAAAATGTTCTATCAAACACCTAAAAATTTGAATAATTCCATTTTTCATATAATTCAAGACCAATCTAACATGGCCTAAATGTTTCTATGATTATAGCAATGCCATTGAGGCCATATCGAGCCGAGTACCCAAACCTTCGAAGGGGCTTGTAATGGAGGACATTCTAGAGCTGAAAGTTAAGTTTACAGATCTCACAATATTGCTAATTAGGATAGAAGCTACTAGTTAGTGCCAGCCCTGAGAATTTGGAGGCCCTGAGCGAAAAATTATTTCGAGGCCTCATATTTTTTTTATACATGTAGCAATATTTAAATAAAAAAATATATTTATATTCAAATGAAAACTTCATACAATTTAAAAGAAAGAATTGCAAAATAAAATATCACTTACAACCATTAAAATGCGAAAATTAAAGCAACTTCACATGTACGAATCTTACGTCTATCCTTTTGATTGCTTCATCTTGAATGGACCTTGGAAGAAATGTCAAAGAACGATTGAAAGCTAGTTTCTTTATCATACAGAAATATTACTAATCTTAACCAAACATGCTATGAAAATTAGGCCATCTTTTCCTCTCTTTCAACAGAACAAATCGGTAAAGAACGCTCTACTTTCGATAGCACATCAGGTTTTTTCTCTATTTCGAAACCCCTTTTTAATCAATTTACAAAGTATTAATGAATAATCTCAGAGTAATTACTGTATTACTAATTTTTCAGAGATGACAAGTATTCTAGCGAGTTAGTGAGTTACCCTCTGAATTGGTTTTCGAGAGTTGGAGAGAGAATCATCTTCTTCACAAGGGAAGAAATTACAGATTTCAGTTTTTTGGGTGTTCAAATATGGATTATCCTTGTAAAGAAGAAATGTTTTTTCCCCAACTTTCATGCCATGTAACTACTTAATACTTAAATACACGAGCACTTGAGCAGGGCTGGCCGCTGGAGATGTCAAGGTGAGCAGGAGCTGCAGGACATCGACTAGAGGAGAACAGAAAACTTATGGGCAAATCATTGAGTCACTGACACAGAAAACTTTAGGAAAACAGAAATTTTTGGAGAGGCCAAGAGGAGATTTGGGAATTCTGATTCTCTAAGAATTGAAGAAGACGACTTACCTTTTGATCGAGTCCCTTCAATTTCCTTCCCGTCCCTTCAATTTCCTTTTGCAGTGTCCGTTCAATTTCCTCTGCCTGCTGGTATTACTATGAGTTTTAAGGGCCTGGCCCAAGCCACATTTTTGGAGGCCCTAGGTGGCTTGGCCCCAGGGCCAGCCCTGCTACCAGTGCAATCCGTGTTCTAGCAAAGTAGGTACCTTTGCTATTTTAGAATCCTGTCTGGGACTGGGTTGATCTTTCTGCTATTTCTATAATAAATACACTCTTTTCTGGTCTAATGGAATGAAAATCACGCTCTAGAAGAATTGTTTCTATGAACTAACCAATCCAAAATGTTGATAGTCTTGTACTGATACCCGCAACTGATGTCACAATTTGTTATGAGAAAATTTTCTTGGTACAAAATTAATTGGCTTAAAGCTTAAAGCTTAGAATGAAGCTACAATTACTCCTTAACCTATAAAAGAGAAATTATTTTTGGTTTCAACACACTTTACACGTAAAAGTCAAATTCATTAAATTATCATAAATGGATGTTAATAAAGTTTGAAAAAAAAAATAAAATAAAATCTTTTTCATGCATATGAAGAATGCACTAAAGATGAAGTATAAAATTGACAAAGGGTTATATCAAGTTGAACTTTTCTAGTATTACTTAAAGGACAAACAAGTCTTAAACAAGTAAAAAATTTCAAAATCTCAATTTTGACAAGAAAGAGATAAATATTTCGAGATTTTTTGAATTTATAATTACATCATTTCTCAAAGAGTGATACTATTTAGCCCCACTAAAATTATAATCTTAGTCAATGTGACACTAAATGATATGTTAAATTAATTTTGGTCGAGCTAAATAGCATTATTCTTTTTTCAAAGGATCAATATATATGATACTATAGATATAGAACAAGATAAATAATTTCTATTTGTTAAACTTACTAAGAGCTCGTTTAATGAGATTTCTACTTAGACATTATTTGACACGACTCCTGCTTCTACTTTTACTTCTTGTAGAAGAGATTCCTTAAGTACTTTTAGAACATTATCCGAACATGTTTAGAGCAATTTCTTAATCTAAGAAACAATTTTAACTTTTCAAAATTCCAATTAAACGGACCTTAAGCCAATTTCTTTAGAAACTCTTCTAATCGATAAATTACTTATAAAATATTATCCAAACAAATTAAAAAATAAATTCTTAATCTAAAAAGTGATTTTTCACTATTCTAAATTTTTAAATAACCTGGCTAAATAAATCATATAAAGATCCTGTTTGAGCCATATTATTTCAAAAAATACATTTTAAATAATAATTTAATATTATTTTAACAAGACATTTTTCAATAAAATAATATTACATATAAATTTAAATTTTTTTATTTTTTAATCACTAATTCTTCAACAATATATTATTTCAAAATACATTCTTTTAAGATAACTTGAATAAAGAATACTGACTGTCGTTGATATGTTCTATTTGGACTCTTCACCCGCTTTCACTTGTCCCTGCACGTGGCACAATAGTATTCAAATATTCGCGTTTAGACCAAACTCCCACCTTCTTCGAACCTCCACCGCTAGTTGGCCGCGAGACGGCGGCGATGGTATCAATTCATTACTCATAGGCCTCCTGTAGAGAGAGAATATATATATATATATATAAAAAGTGACAAAGAGTGTAAAAGTAACGCCGTGGAGGCTTTCACGAGAAATGCATTTCTAGAAAGAGGAGAGAGTAATTGCAAAGCAAAATTAACTATTTTCCGCTCCCCTACATGACCTATATACATGTATACACTGACGAAGTTAATCGCCGATCATTGTCATTGGGTGATTTGTAAGGTAATTAATTAATTCAATGGACAATAGAATCGTATGTAAAAATGATTTCTTTCCCCGTTTCATTTGATCGCTGGAATTGCCTCGTGAATGTACGTTTTTGATAGCGTGGAGTGTACTGAATTTTGTTATGAGCTTTTGCCGCATTTCGTGTGGATTTTGGATTGTTGGAAATTGGAATGTCAGACGAATCTGAATTCCGAATCTTGAAGACTTAGCAAATCTGCGCTTCAGTTTTACTTTTATCTTTGATTTACAAAATCTACGTTTCAATGGTTTTTTTTTTTCCACAGAATTCACGAGCTTTGGTTCTTTATCGATTTAGTGTCGCTGAGATATTGAATTGTGAATCGGTCGAATAAGGATGCCAGGTAATTTCACGTTAATGTATGCAAGATTTAGGCTGTGTTGACTTATTTAATTGTTTTGATTGATCTTTTGATTTATAGAAATAGATTCTGCACAAGAATATGAAAAAGAAAAACGATCCGATCATGAGTTTTCTGAGGATGAGAAACGGAGAATTAGAATCAGATCTTTGAGAAAGAAAGCATTAAATGCTTCAACAAAAATTACACGCACTCTCAGGAAACGCAGTAAACGGGTGGCTCATTGTCGGTTCGCATCGATCTCCACAGAAGAGTTTGTAGACAAGGAGGAAGAGAATGCAATCAACGCATTTCGCCAACTTTTGCTTGACAGAGACCTGCTTCCGGCTCGCCATGATGACTACCATATCATGTTGAGGTAAATTCATCTGCATTTCTGAAAGAGAATTTCTTGGCCTTCCAAATAAACTTCGAGAATCCACCTTCGTCAATTTCAGAAGATAAAGGAAAAAATAAAAATAAAAATACTGATTTGCATTTGCTACTGGCTGCTGCAGTGTTATGAAAGAAAATTTCTTTGCCTTTCTTGTTTGCTATTTCATGTTGTGATGTTGGATCTATAAGGATTTATTTAGTCATAACTTTAATATTTTTAATGTCATTTGTTCTCTGGTTTGCATTTGAACTTCTGGCTTGCTATGGTAGACTCTATTTTAACTAACCTCCTTCAGCTTCTTCCAGAGTTTGGGACCATAATCCGTATGAATTGAAATCCCAGATAAAGCATTTGTGTTTTCCCTTGTGAAACTACACGTAAGTACTTTTAGAAGCACGAACTATCTTCTTAATTTGCAAAAGAATGTTGGACATTGGTTCCAAATTCAGAACTCTAGCTTTGGTCAACTTTTATTCCTTTTCTTTTTGTCGAATAAAGGAAAGCTTAAATGGGAAAACACATGGCTTAAGTAGAGTATGCTCTTTTTATTCTCATTGTGGAGGAGAAGGTGATTGTGACTCTCTTGTTTATAGATGATAATAACGGTTTTACAGAAAATAGTGAGCGGTTTTACAGAAAATAGTGAGATGTGCTTGAAAAGGATTGAAATAGTATGAGACATGGATACTTGATGTGTTCGTGCAATTTTCTCCAAAAACTTATTGGGAAATAGAAAGTCATTTTCTGCTCTTTTCTTTTCAATTTATTTATTTATTATTATTATTATTATTATTATTTTTTTAATATCCATCTGAAATAGAACATGTCTAAATATTCTCACATGGCTGCTAAGTTGTTTGTCGATACCTTGTCTATAACACAACCCCTAAAATGCCTTCTTTTATTTTGTTATTGAGATCTGGTAATAGTTGGCCTTAAAACTGGTCAATATTACAGCACATCCTGTTACAATAATAACAATGCACTACCAGAGACTATTCAGATGTTTAATATAGTCTACAGTTCTTTTCAAGAGCATAGTTATTGGTTAGATGAACAGCTATTTAATTGGTCTAGCATAAAATTAGAAAACTTGAGACTATGGTATCTCTCAGTAGTTATTTCTGGGACTTCTTCGGGTGGAACATGGAGAGTGTCCTGTGTAGTTTTCTTATTTAAAATGCAAATGAGTATCATGCTTTTTTGCTTTCAACTTCAGTGCAACGATCCTCCCATGCCAAAGTCATCACCTCCTGACATTTAAACCATACTATCTAAAATTCCCACACCCTTACAAGCACATATTCAAGTGTGCAGATACGTCAATATATTAATCTGTTACTGACTTCCAAAATTTGAGCTTTCGTTTCATATTTGTATTCTCTTATTACATGCATGTGCAACATCTCAGAAGACGATTTTAGTAGTTCCTATGTTTTCCTATATATTTTGATTTTATAACCTGTGTGTTTCAATGTATATTCTTAAAAGAACTAAAAGGATTGTGTTGCAGGTTCTTGAAAGCAAGGAAGTTTGACCTTGATAAGACGGTCCATATGTGGGCAGAAATGCTCATTTGGAGGAAAGAGAATGGAGTAGACTCTATCATAAGGGTAAAATGCTGCATCATGTCTATTGTTGTCACTGTCATCTATAATTGGAAAGACGATAGATTTCTGGTGGACATATCCGAATAGATGAGAACTCAGACCATGATTGATAGGGCTAGGATTGAATTTTTCTTTGCAGTTCCTCCTGAGTATAATCCTTTCTACACATCTATTAACAATTTGCTTTTTTATGTACTGCTGGAACTAGGTTTTTATGTCATATATTAAAGCGAAGAACTATTTCTACACTTTCTGTTGAAACCCACAACACACACACCCCATAAATTATAAAAATAAAAAAATGTTAGGTTTGGCTTGAAAACATTGTCGAAGTTCCCATCTGAGTTATGAGAAGTATCAGATGTTACATGTCTTCCTCTCTGTATCAATGCAATTTTTGATATCATTACAGTTGCTATAACTATATGGCCCTTGTTTAGGATTTTGTTTATGATGAATTTGAAGATGTTCGGCGATATTATCCACATGGTTACCATGGTGTAGATAAAGGAGGGAGGCCTGTCTATATCGAAAGACTTGGCAAAATTGAACCTAGCAAGCTTATGAGTGTAACCACCGTAGAGAGGTTCTTAAAATATCATGTACAGGGGTTTGAAAAGACTTTTGAAGAAAAGTTTCCTGCTTGTTCAATTGTGGCCAAGAGGCATATAGATTCAACAACGACAATCCTGGATGTACATGGCCTGGTTTGTTCTGACCCAGATAATCATTAGTACACCTTTTGCATTATTATCCCATAGGTCAAGATATTAGTATTGTAAATTTTCACTAAAATTATTCGTTTTAATGCAGAACTGGATGAGTTTTGGCAAGGTTGCACATGATCTAGTCATGAGAATGCAGAGAATAGATGGCAACAACTATCCTGAGGTACCTCAGCTTATTTCCCAAGGATTAGAGTGTAAAGTGATTTTATTGATTTTTCTCCTGATGCTATGGCCACTTACTAGTTGTTCTCATCGTGTGCAGACATTGAATCATATGTACATAGTTAACGCGGGTAGTGGATTCAAATGTCTGTGGAACTGGGCAAAAGGCTTTCTTGATCCAAGGACAACTTCAAAAATACATGTAAAATGATTTTATTTCAAAACTCTATAAACTGTGGTCACATGAATATATTATCTTATTGACAGTTACCGATACTACAGGTTCTGGGCACCAAATTCCAGAGTACTTTGTTGGAAGTTATAGACTCTTGGTGAGCATCTTTCTGCCTGCTAAAGCATCATCCTTTTTGTATTAAATATAAAATGTTTAGAGGTTGTGTCATATAATATTCTTTCAAACAGTCAATTGCCAGATTTCCTTGGTGGCTCCTGTTCATGCCCAAATGAAGGTGGATGTCTTGGATCGGACAAGGGACCCTGGAATGATCCAGAGCTTATTAAGGTTTGAAGATTGCCATTTGTCAGCTTTACTCATTGATTTATTTGGCATTCAAAAATTAAGAATATTTTATATAATTAGGGTTATCCAACTCGTACTTGCAGCTGGTACATACTCTACATGCTAGTGAAGCTACTTATCCAAAAAAAGTTACTAGCTTTTCAGAGGATGAGGATGATTTAGAAACGAAGCTGATTGGTTCGAAGGTAAAACAGTTTACTGACAATATTACATACTCTAACTTCTACTCATTTACATGCATGAAATGTTGGAACTACTTTGTACAGGATCTAAATAGTGAAATTGATCCAGTTACCAAATTCTCTGATGGTGGTCATTTCGAAACTAAGCTAATTGATTCTAAGGTAAGACCGACGTAGATTAATTTAATATGCCAACTTTTATTCATCTTCAGGCTGTAGGTAATGCAATTTTTTCTCTATACAGGGCGCAAAAAGTGAATTTTTTCCTGATGGGCCAGATTCTGGTTTACAATTCTCTTCTCACAGTACCATGCTGACAATTCCACTTGGTGATAATGTAAGAGATTTAGGTCATCATGTTCCCTTTAAAGTATTTTATTTCATTTACCTGAGCTTCCAAATTGAATACTTGGTTTACTCCATTCCAAAAGGGGAATGATAGGATTACACTTTCTTTTCTGTACTTCAAACTCCTACCAGAAAGCTGCATTTAGGTTTTAACCTGTAACGCAATATAAATGATCTGAAATCAAAGATGTCAAATATGTGGTCACTAAATATTTTTCCTTGAAAGCCATTAGTAAATAACAAAACTTCTTCCTATTTCTTTAAAAAAAAAAAAGGGACGAGTTGTCTAATATCGTTCCTAAGTATTTACTGTTGGCGAATCTTCCTTAAATATGAAATGAAGATATGTCGTTGGAACAAGTAGGTTTAATTGCTAAGCAGATGAAATGCTTAATGTGATGGCTTGTTTCTATAATGTGGATCGATAAGCATTTGGTCACCTATAATGTACTTGAGGAAGATCTGTAGGTATCAATTTGTGCATATATTGTCGTTTTGATAAGATTTACTTGACTAATAATTTATTTTTTAAAATATTTTTTCACTTTTATAAATAGGTTGTTGTCTCATGCCTCCTGAACTTCTGATGGTTTCTTTTGTATTTGCTTGCATTTTTCTACTATGAAACGGTGATTCTTTAAGCCGCCCCAGATAGAGTTTATTTACTTAAGCTAGCTAATTTTGGAAGCCAGCTGAGCCTCGTATCTGACCTATGCTTCTCAGATGTGAACCCTCAACGCATCAGCATATTGGAGTACTTGGTGGATTCAACACTCTTGGAATTTGTGTAGGATTGCTTGTTACAGATATAGGAGATTCCTCATTTTGAATCTTCGATGGTGTTTTGCACATAATATATCAACTAGAGTTTGCCCAAGAGGCAGATCTAATCCAGAGGACGTGTTCGTTAGAATTAAATGTATCATGTTTCAAAAATACGTAACTAAATTGAAAGTTTTTTTGAAGAGAATACTTCATTGTTTTACTGTGAGGTTCATGATGTTAAAGGAGATTGATAGGACCAAGTTACCTATAAAAAGAAACATCGGAATGATGAATAGCATGATGATTACATAGGTAGATACTTATGAAGGCAAAGAAAGATAATATGTAAGGAACAATGATACTGATATTTTGTGTAGGGAATAGCAATGGTTGCTGAAAAGTTTTGTACATGCCTATTCACACGTTTGCAGTAGTAGAGCATGTTTTGCAAGGCTTAGTTATTCTTTTAATATTTATTTACAACTTTCACCTGTGTTTCTGAAACAAACTCATCGCCGAACATTCTCCTAGCACCATTTTAACTTATTTTCTTCCATGAAAAGGAATGAACTATAATGCACGAGACAACTAAGTGTTCATGTCCAAAGTCCAAACCTTCATCACCACCTTCCTAGGCAAAAAAAAAATAAAATAAACTTAAAGGCGACGCCACTCATCTGCAAATTCTTGCGTTTGAATTTTGCACCTCGTTTAACTTCAATAGACTTCAAACTAATTCATTTTACTTTTCTCCTTTTATTTAAAGTATTTAGATGTTACCTATTTTGTGGCCAGCATATGATAACATGCATATTCCATTTTCCTTACTTTTTGGTGATGCGCAATGTACTCATATTCTTTTATTTACATAAACGCTACTAAATATAGTGATGAGGCATCCCATCACTGACATTATCTATGCTCGATCTTATTGCTTTTTACCTTGGCTGACTCAGGAAATAGTAGAGAGACCTGCATCTTTACATGGAAAAATTGGAGCTAAACATGTTGGGGATAGAGTTGAAAATCGTTTTCCTTCAAGTAAGAAAGCGAAGCTAGTGCTTATCACTTGAGGCTTCTATTTATGCTTTTCTTTCATAATGTGATGGACATTCAATCTGGATACACAGCAGTACTATTTTCATAGTTGAAGCTCTTGCAAATTAGTGTTTGGAGTTCACCTCTTTTCCATCTGGGCATTGACTTGTAACGCTATGATATTGCATGCATTTTGCATTTGCGTCAAACTCATTAATTGTGCTGTTCAGTATGCCACGCGTTTTTTGCATAAATCACCCCTTTTTTTCTTGTGTCTTTATAATCAAAATCCCATTGATAAAAAAATGTGGCATCAGTGAGTGGCCTCGGGAGTTTTAATTTGACCTTTTGTTGTTTATGTCGAAAAAGTAATCGCATTTGTGTTGTAGCATTAACATGTTTTTAGATCTGTCCCTTTCAATAGATTTGACTAGGCATGTCCCCGAAAGAAGGCAAGTTCTTAAAGTCAGATTTCTTGCATGCATATCTTTGTTGCTTGCTGGGCTGGTTAGAAGACTTTTCACGAAGTCAAATTCGGAGAACCTAGTGGAAAATCAGAGAGGACCCAATTCTGCAAATTCAAATTCCCAAGAGCAACACGTTTCACAGCCAAATAGTAAGGAGCTCCTCCATCCATGCTGTGAGAAGTTGCAACACTTAGAGAATGTCGTCACCGAACTGTTGAAGAAACCTGCAAAAATTCCCCCAGAGAAGGATGACATCCTACTTGAATCTTTGAATCGCATAAAATCTATAGAGCACGACTTGCAGAAGACAAAAAGAGTAAGCTTCTTTTTCACTGTCAATACAATCTTCAAGACATGGTGCCTAAAGTTTATTGTCTTCTTCCAATTAATTGTTGATTGACGGAAGTAGACTGTTGGATTCAGGCACTATTTGCAACAGCCTCGAAACAAGTAGAGCTTTCCGAGTCATTGGATACTCTAAAGGAATCCAGTCTAAAAGTGAGCTCTCACCTCTCATTTACTCTTATGGCTTTTCTGGCAAGGTGGTAATTAATAAGGAAATGCTTGAAAGGCTAATTCAACATGATCATGATCAGCGTTTTTAAACCCTTGATGGCACCATTTATGGCAGAATTTGACAATGTGTCTTTACCAATGCCAGGGGACAAGATCATGTTGGCTACGAAGCAGCAAGTCGTTACCTCGCAGAACCTGATGCCTGGAATATCAAAGAGGAACCCTCTAGGTACCTTTTTTAACTTTGTGACCTTGCAACACAATTTAAGACGAGTAGATCGGCGTGATTACTTTTCAGAAGTTCACTGAGTTTAAAGTCTGTTTGTGACTGCTCGTCTCGGTGGAGAAGTCTGTTTCACTGATTTTCAAACACCCAACCATACTTTTTGAAACATATTAGATGTATGAATGAATCTACACTGTCCATGCTCTTTACTATGGCCTTGTTTGAGCCACATTATTTGAAAAAAAAAAATACATTTTTCAATAGTGATTTGACATCATTTCAACAACACATTCTTTAATAAAATAATATTACATGCAGATTCAAAACATTTCCTTGTTTTTTAATCACACATTTTTCGTCAATATACTATTCAGAAATGCATTTTCATACCAATAATGTGGCTCAAACAAGTGCTATATGCGACCAGCGTCTTTAAAATTGTGCTTAGTTCCATTGCTGTAAACTGGACTGGTTCTGTTTATCTATTTTGTGGTTCTTGCTGCCTTTTGCTTTTGCTTTTGCTTTTGCTTTAGTCTTTAAAGAAAATTACTGTGTTTAGGTGATGAATACTAGTGCAATGCAACAGTTTGTAACTTTCAAGATGGTTTTCCATGCTTCTTGTCTTAATTTATGTCATTGATCTGTCATTGCCTAGTTTCTCTATAACTAGTCCTGGACGAATCAACCTCTTTCCTGGGATGGTTCCTTTCTTACGTTTGGACTTTGGATTGTGCTTTTTGTAAGGTTGTAAATTATTACTCCTAAAATTGACAGCTCCAGCTGATTTTTTTCATGTGCTTAGCTTGAATCTGGCTTTAATTTATGGTTGTTATATCCTAGTACAAGATTAACCAGGACAAACTGTTTTACCCTTAGACGACATTGTGCAATGAATCTTGTTGATATCAGAAAATGGTGTGGTACTTTTCTTATCGAATTCACAAGAATTACAAGATGGAAACCGGTTTTTTGCGAATTTTCAGTGAGGTCAGAGCTAAGTACTGGTGTGAACTGAGTGCCTCGAATTCTAGGGAAATGAACCCTTTTTGAAGGCAAAAATAAGAATAATGCTAAATATAAATTCTCCTCGACACATTCCTCGAAATTTCCCGAGGGAAAAATCTGAGCAGTGATGTGATGGCTGTAGTCAAAATCATCAGTGTAGATATAGCAACAAGTGTGTAAATCTTGATGTCAACGACAATGTATCGTGGTTGACCGATAGTTAAACTACTTGAACCAATACCAAATAATTAAGAACCCATCTTCACTCAACGATTTGACGTATTTCTTATACGGAGTCAAGATATTTTTAGAATCCCTGATTATGTATGTTGTAGTAGTTAAATTAATCACGTGCAAACTGGTCTAATGTATCATCTTTCAAAATAAAAAGATATTCAAAATAAAAAGATGTTATATTGATCACTAGTAACGCAATGAGGTACACATTGTTCTTGGTGACAAACTTAAATCGCCTGATATACTGATCAGGTGATCATTTTAACGGTCTATATTCATAATAAAAAACTTCAATGGTAGTCAAATCACCTCTGTTTTACTAACTAAACTTCGAGACATATACTGATAAGTTCGTTAAATGTAGCTGAAAAAAGAAGAAATATGTTACTTGTACAAAACGTGGTGTTTGTTCACCCTCACGTGGATGGGGACCCACTGCTGGTAAATTATATTTTATTCGAAATGAATCCCTCATATGAGGGGGTCGACGCTGTTATAAATACCTTGATATACGTGTAGTATTACCCAAAAAAGAATTGCTATATAAATTTTCCGTACAGTTTATACGGAAACTCGTACAAATCATTTATTTTTTGCAAAACAGACAGCCAGTTATTCTTTGATCCCCACCTGATCATTTATAATAAACAAAGGAAATGATACACGATAACCTTACCTCCAAAATTACTGTCAAAAAATTAGTTGTAACCCATTACAAAGACTTGACACCATAGAACTATAATGAAGTATACGATCAACCAACATTTATTGAATTTGAAAAAGAGTCAATTCAATACTTTTATCTTGATTTCTTGAACCGACAAATCCATGAATCGAGATCCTGACGTATAGAGGTACAAATGGGTAGGAAAAATAGCATACTTCATGAGACTCGCATATTTTCTACCACACATCCCATCAACTTTTATCAAATCTACTGAAAATCCAATTTACATCTACACAAACAAGAGCAAAAGAAAGCAAATGGGAAGAGACGTGTGAACTTCTCACCAACCTTTAGCCACTACGAATTTCAAATATATATAGAGAGATTGGCCGCATTTTTCTACTGATAGTCATCTACGTATTGTATCCGCCGAAAGGATAACCTAAATGTCCAGTAAGTTCTTGCCAATTTCCTAAGGTTTCAAATGGATACAATAGCATTGCATAGTATTTCTCCCAAAATAAAATCAAACTGGTCCAGTGAAATACATCACTCCCTCCTATAAACAAATGTATACAAAAATTGCATAGGCTCGAGACGTGGAAGCATACGACTAATATTCACAAAATTCCTACAGCCTTTGGCCAAAACAATGAAACAACTCCCTTTTAAGACAAGGGAAATAATACAAGGCGGATCTATGGGAGCAAAAACAAATAGAGCCCCTCCTTCACGGAGCAGGAAAATAAATAAGCGTTGGAGCGAAAGTAGCCATAAAAATGGAGAGACGAGACTATGTACACCTACCTCTATCAGACGTCTCTTATCTTCACCAAGCCCTAGAGCAACAGTAATGTACAAAATACCCCAAAGTCTTCCTTGCCGAATTGCAGAGACATTCTAAACTTTCACCAACTTGTCATCTTTCCATGCCCGGATAGAACCATAAGCTTCAAAATGAATAATGCAAAAAACAGTCAGGATATTGTTCCAGATAGGGAGAGTAGGAAATTATAATGAGCAAAAGCTAAATAGAAGCATGTATAATAGATCATGGCAACACTGAAACCAGGTAATGGTACTTAAGGAAATACTTTCAGTTCTCCTTTTAACAATGTGTTTTATTACAATTTCCTTATCATTTAAAGTCAAAGTCAAACAACAATTTTAACCACACACAAATATCCACACATTTCGTAAGGACCCATTATTAATCTTCATCATAATTTCCTTATAATTTTCCCAAACAAACAGTGTATAGACAGAAAAAACTTGAAACCCTAAAGGGCAGAAACACGAGTTCTTTCGGGTTGAAATTATCTTTAAATGGAATTGTGTAAGCATACAAAGACCTAAATAAAGCAGTGAATAGTCCCTGCATGTCAACTGATGTTATGGATATATGGAATCGAGGTACGAACTAACCTGTACACTGCTGTCTCAAGAGTATGTTGACCTACCCCAGGCAGGACCAATCACCCCTGCGACACATTCGTTAGGCATCCTTCATTCCAGTCCAGGGTCACTAGGACTACCATTCAAACTACAGCAGTGGCTATTGCTGCTGCTGCTGCTGCTGAGGCTGGGTTACTGGTGAAGGAAGTGGTTGCAGTTTTGACGGTTGATGCTGCCGCTGTGCACTAAAATCGTGTTTAATTTTGGGTAAGCTGGTTGACAACAGCCGTTGATCAGGCCCTTGGCTGTTTGTAGTCATGGACTCACTAGAACTCACTGGTGGAGGAACCAAGGAACCCAAATTTGTTGGTGAATTCGATGTATCAGAATCAAATGATGGTTCTGTACCATTCTGCTGCGCACTAGGAGGAGAAATGACCTGTCCTACAATAGTTGAAATGTTACAGACCTGGGGCAATGTTGTCATGGGACACATCTCAGAACTGCTTATTGCATGCTGTTCAGTATGACAATCTCTGGCTAGCCGCTTGTTTGGAGGGTCAGAATTAGGTTTTGAATTTTGTTGAAATCCTCTCTGAAGAGACTCTGGATTTTGATTCACAAACTTTTGGTGAGGCAGTGCCTGTTGGTGATTGGAGGAAGCCACGGTTGCAGTTGGAACAGATTGATGGCCAGCAGATGAAGTAGAAGCAGCAACAACTAATGGAACCTGACCTTCACCGCTAGTATCAGAATGAGAAGGCTTTTGAGGTGGGTATTTTGCAGATGAAAATACTGAGCCAGAATAGGTCTTTTGCTGAGGCAGGGATTGATTAGATGATTGCGAAGGCACATATTGCCTCATCGGTTGCACAGCATTTAGTTGTGGCCCAGGATATGAACTCTGGCCCTGCATTAAATGTGTGGTCTGCTCTCCTTTCTCCGAAGACTGGTTCCCTGTATTCGACATGCCATCCAAAAGGGACGGGTCAACCTGGATGTTCTGATGCATCAAGTTTCCTCTTCCAACTCCCTTTGAAAGTTTAACCTGCTGTTGACCCTGTGTCTGCTGTCGCTGCAGAGGATGTGGCCTGTTACCATGCAAGACCTGCTGCCGCTGCCGTTGCTTGCCTATATGATTGGCACTGCTAACAATTTGATGTTTCTGCTGCTGCTGTAGCATTGAATTCATAGAAGCAGATGTTGATGGAGAATGTGATGCCAATGGAGAGCTTGTTTGTGACTGAACTTGAGAATTATTTTGTAAAGGCGATGAAATAGGAAGTTGAGGCTGTTGTGGTACATGTTGCATCAAGGAATTAGAGGCAGTGAATTGCTGTTGTTGCTGGAGAAAACGATGTTGAACTTGTCTCTCTTTTGCTAGGCGCATTGCAGGGGCTTGCTGCTGGGGATTAGGAGGATGATTGGAACCTCCTTGAAGATGTGAGTGATGAGAGCTAAGAACTTGGGGCTTTTGGGGGGATACTGGGTGTGACAGCTGATGATGGACAGGGAAGGATGAAACAGGTTGGGAAGCAGTCTGGTTGGGTAAAGGAGAGTTTTTACCACCAAAAGATGAGACTCCTTGGCTGCTACCTGGTGAGGCCTGCATCTGAAGGTCAGACACGATCATTTGTCTCTGCAAGTCCTGAATCATCCCAGGCTACAAGACCAGATGAGCATTTACTACTAAATTTACACCGAGTAACAACAATAAAAATTGGGAATGTACCAAAAACACACAGCTCAGAATAGAATAGCCACTTCATGATACTATAGAATCGGGCAAGTTATCAATCCACAACAGCTCCAGGATAAGAAGTTTATATGGGAACTAATAATCACTCAAGCACTTCATTCATAATGTAAGAAATATCATGTTTTAAAACAATCACCTTCAAAATTTATACAAAGTTAACATTGACCACATTTTAATTTAAAAAATGATATTTTCGCTGCATGCCATGCCAAGAAACCAGCTAGTCGCTCACAGCTGCTAATTAGATTCGTAATTTATCAACCAAAGCCAACACTATAAAGATTGCTCTGGTTTGTGTGTTACTCATTATACCTTCTAAGAAAGTTTAATCCAAAAATGTCGTCATTGTAGTTGCAACTAATTTTTTTGACGGCTATATTGGGCACTCCTAACATCTTTTCCCTGAATGGAATTATAAGAATCGAGTGTGTGGTCCCTAACCCTTTTTTGGCATTTTAACTTCTCGAGCTTTCAATTTTGGTGCAACTTCATCCTCCCCCGCGGTTTCCATCCAATTTTAGCATTAAATTTCCAAAAAGATGCTGGCCCAAGATCAAATTAAAAAAATGTTATAAGGAGGGAACTAACGCAGTTGCGGGGAAGGGGATGCTTGTGCAGTGGTGGCTGTATGGTGGAG